CTGCCTTTCAAAGTCACCTCCTCAGCAGAGGCTGCCCCTGTGTGGACCAAAGAGAGTGGGGTACACAGTGTTCAACTGCTTGAGCTGGACTGTGCCACATTCCCCATCTTTGGGGACAGAGAAGGCCCTGTATTTCTCCACTCCCTCTTCCCCTTCTCTAGTCCTTAGCCAGTCAAGAGTCTAAACACCTGCCTGTACACCATACCAGTGCAAATACTTCTATGATCTGCACAGACTTTCTCTAGATGTGCTAGCTGTCTCTCAGGGAAGAATTAATTCTACACCAACAAAAGGGTTCATACTAACTGAATCTGAACAGAGCCTTCCCAGAAAAGTCAAAGTGATCATGTGCACCAAAAGGCATAATCCAACTCTTTGGAGAGCAAAACCAGCTCTTGGTTCCACATCTGGGAACCCACTGCTAGCCTGAGTGAACAGCAAGTGGAAATTTCTAGCCTTCATCACACTGGTAACAATGACACCACAAATCAGATGGATTTTCTCCTGTGAAAAAATGAACACTGAAATAACTGATGCTTGAATCGTTGAGGTTTGTGTTGTCAGCTCCCAGTCTTCTTACCTCCTATAGCAGACCTACAGTATCAAATACCAAAATTATAGATCCAAATCACCCCAGCACATCCCCTACACCTCCCAATTGCTATCAGAATGCTCAGGCTCCTTCTCCCATCTCAAAATCCCCCTTAGCCTAACATATCACCCATGCAGCCCCTGAGCAGCTGGTAAGGCAAAAGACACTGTGGACTGTAGCTGATCACGGCATCACAGAATTACAGAGTGGTTTGGGTTGGAAGGGACATTAAAGATAATTTAGTTCCAACCCCTCTGTCAAAGGTAGTGATGCTACCCACTAAATTGTGTTGCTCAGGGTCTCATACAACCTGGTCCTGAAGACTTCCAGGGATGGGGCATCCACAACTTCTCTGGAAAACCTGTGCCAGTGTCCCACTACCCTCTTGAGTAAAGAAATTCTTCCTAACATCTACTCTAAATCTCTCCTCTTAGTTTAAAAACATTCCCTATGCCCTATGTCTATCTGCCGGTGCAAAAAGTTACTTTCCCTCTTTTTTACAAGCCCTCTTTAAGTACTGATAGGCCACAGTCTGGTCTGATAACATCTGTGTGCTACCTGGGCAGCCCACACACATACACAGCCTGGTCAGCTGGATGAACCCTTCTGCCAGAAAAAAGGCACCAGTTTGAGGTGAGGTCAGAAACAAAAAAGGTCTCTCCACTGTTTTCACAAAATTTGTCAGAAATACATGCAGTTACTATAAATGTACAATCTTTGAGGCTCCTGCTTCTTTGCCAAACTGGGCTGAAGTGTCCAAGCAATTAAAACTGTCGAGAGAACTCGCAGAGAGACAGATGGATAGGGAGACAGGATGATAAAATAAGTCTTTTTTTTCCCTTGAGGAAAACATGTTAAAGAGAAAAAAAAAAAAAAAAAGCTACCAAAATGCATTGTTTGTACTTATTAATTGTTATCAGACTTAATTAAATTTTGACTTCAGTTCTTTAGTTTGTATCAGGATAAAAGAACAAAAAGTGTTGTATTAATTTTGATCTAAAAAATTGTCGTAAGATGATCTGTACAGAAATGTACAAAAGCATGAAAAATGCTACTGAACCTTTTAAAAATTATTTTTCTTCAATAATTTTCAGAAAGACTTAAACCTTCCTCATTTTGCATTCCAAGAATTTGACTGAGAACCTAACACTGCAGCTACACTAAGCACATTTTCTACTTTCTGCTTCTTCACTAAATTGGGAGGAAAAACCACAAAAAACCTAGCGTCGTACATTATAGACTAAAATATCTTGAAGGGAGATGATGAAGACTGTTGTTAAAGGCATTTGACTTTGATCATCTTTAGAGGGTGAAAAAAAAGAAAATAAGATTACCTTGGAAAAAAATACGTATAAAATCAGGCAGATTGTAAGGCTCCCGATAAAACACTACTCTTGGCAAGCTACACTGGAGAGAAAAAAAAAAGGCAGTTCCTCTGTCCATAATGTGTATTTTTTTTAACATTTACAAATTATTTTTGACTTAGCCACGCAGGGAGCCTACTTTCAACCCTCAATTTGAAAATCATGCAGGCTTTATAAAGTCTTCCACCTGCATCTCTTTTTTGCATCACAGTTCTTTATCCTCTAAAGGATGAAAACCCTGGCATATAAAAACTTTGTTAAGCTGTCACTATCAATAGAGTAAAAAAAAATAATGGTTGACAAAGAAGAAACAAATTGCATCTTCGAATAAGTTTCCTTCATGCTCTTGTTAAAAGCTATAACCTCTGATGTTAACTAAATTTAACCCATTCTGACCCTTGCAGTGGCCCTTAACCTCTTCTTTATTCTGCTTCCTGTGATTGCTGAAGAAAACTGGCCCAGTCATTGGAAAAGCGCTCTCTGTTGCACACAAAGCCCCAGCCTGGCTGCTAGTCTGTCAGGAGGGATAGAATAGACGGGGAGGTCAGCACCTGTGCTGAGAAGCAGGTGACAGGGAACTGCTTGGACCATTCTAGGGCAAGTTGTAATAGTTTCTACCCTTTAAATATCGCACTGTAGTTTCGGGTATTCAAGGCAGCGAAGTTCACAATTTCTTTGTGAATGCAGACTTTAAACAAATTAATCTATTGCTGTTCAACTGACTGTAAAATTAGTAGATTTACTGTTGCAAAAAAAAAAAAAAAAAGAAAAAAAAAGAGCTTTCACTTCCACTTTAATAAGGTCACGGATGTGTCCTAGGCTGCCAACAAAAGCAGCTTTTAAAATCTTCGCAGCTGAACCCAACAACTTGCAAAGGCTGTAGAACAATGTCTTCAATGTACAGTGGAAACTCCTCTCCCTACAGTCAAGATGTAAAACTAGACAGTTAAAAAACTTTCTATACTGTGAACTTTTAACTCTAATTGCATCTCGCCCCAGGGACCCACAGGCTTGCCTCTATGATTAACATTTTAACAAATTCAGTCAGCCTTGCTTTTCAGGGAGCAAAATTGGTTCTTTGCCTGGATTCAGTAATTCAGCCCAAGCAATTTAATGGCAGAGCATGCATCTTCAAAAGGTTTGTTTTAATTCCCACAACATGGGCAGGTCTCAGAAATCAAACAAAACTTTATCTGTTTCAACAATATTTGTATATTCTGCTCAGGGATCAGTTAGCAGTGACCATTTACCACTCACTACAAGAAAATTTTGGGGTTTGCTTTATAGAATAAAAATAGAGAAGTTTGTGTAGGAAGCAGCTTTCAAAAGCTGTGGATGGAAAAGGAGTAAATGAGCTACCGCAGATCCAGAAATCTGGACCTACTACACACCCAGAATTTCTGTGTCCTTTAAATACATGTTTACTCTGACGTGTTCTCTGCCATATGGCAATGCTCAGCTCAGCACAAGGGAGTTTTTCATCTGAGTTATGAGCAAAAGTCTTTCATAAACACTGACGGGAAAAGGAACACTAAGGAGTGTAAAGGGGAGGCTGCGGCCCCTCTCTGAACCAGGGGTCTGCAGAAACACACAGCCACGATTATAACCAGCAGGAAGGTGGAGGGGGGCCATGCCAGCTGCCAGCAGGACTGGGGAGTGGGGAGGAGTAAGAGACTCTCCCCAAGTCTTCCCCAAAGCTTCCCTACTGAAATGCCCTGTGAAGGAGGGAATTTTACAGAAAAAAAACAGAAAAACAGAGGTGCACAGGGTAAGCAGCCCTCCAGATGCTCAGTACTTTTGTAAGCACAAATCTGCAGGAGACTAATCACAGATTTAGTAATACGGGTGAAAAACCCTGCTGTCCCACCCACTGCTCCTGCTCCATGCCCAAGGGTCCCAGGCATTGCTAAACCTAAAAAATATCAGTAATAAATTCCTGACGATCTTGTTTGGCCCTTGAAATTTTTTTGACCAGATATTTGTAAGCACAATTCCAGTTCAGGAAGCAGCAAAATATTCACTGTGGACCAAGGAAAGACCAGCCCTCCACCCAGAGCCAGCAGGGAAGAGCTCCTTGCAAGCGTAAGGCACTTCAGCAGCTTGCTTCCTGCTCCCACAAAATGAATGATGAAGTCTGAATGACAGTAAACCATGGCCTCGGGTCTCCAGGTGAGCACACTGTCATCCAGCTAAGGACATCCTCACTCTCTGCTGGGCATTCCAAACTGATCACTGTACCCAAAATGAGTAACTCCAGAGAGAGATTTTAAATGGGGACTATGTTGATGTTGGGTTGATTGCTAAACTAGATGATCTTGAAGGTCTCTTCCAACTTGGATGATTCTGTGATTCTTCGATTTTGAAACCAACCCCAAAACACAGAAGGACTAGAACCAGTTTCCACCATCCTCAGGGAATACTGAAACCACCCCCCAAAGATCAGTTGTTAATGTGGACGAAGTTTCTCAGTAGCATCTTGAGGCCCAAAATAATTACTAACATTAATGACATCCACACTAGCAGATCACTGCACTGCTCATGCACGAGGACCAGAAATCTCTCCATCCACCCATTCTTTGTCCTTCTCACATATTTGCATGTAAAATTATCTGGGGAATTAAATGTCTATGGTCTGGCACAAGGGCTAGCAGAACAGGCCTTAATACGGCACAAAAAATAACAAAGTGAAAACAACTTTGTAAGTAAATGTCAAAAAAAAAAAAAAAAAGAAGAGAAAAAGAAGGCAGATGAAGATTCAGGAATTTAAAAGCAAATAAATGACTGAGTGTATTGTCAGGGGTGGGCAGAAGATGATGTGCATCAAGCAAAGTAAAAGGAAGAAAGTTATTATTAACTGCACTTATTATGATAGTGACTTTCAAATAATTAAGACTGCAATCTCGCAGTGGCAGGCACATATAAAAACATGGCCCCAGGACAATTACACTGTAAACAGACATGAGACAAAGAACAAGGAGAAAGAGTACAATGAACCCCCAGAAAGATGAAGGTAATTGAGGACAAACAGCATTAGAAGGCTGCACTATTTCTTGGCACACTATATTTAATTAGAAAGGCATGAAGTAAAACAAGCATCAGGTTTAAACTTAACAAAATTAAACAATGGGAAGAGAGGAGGAATGCGAGTTGTGTGCTCTGAAGTACCTTGCTTTCATGCAGGTAGTTTTTATCACAGTGAAGAGGATTATTAGCTTTATTGCTGCTACTGAAACTGCTGAAAATTATCTGTCTTGTGGGGATGGTTCTCAGAGTGGCAACAGTCGCTAACGGCAAGGGGGCTGCTGACACGGTCTCTTCTAATGCATATTGCAGAGCTGATGATGAAAAAAATACCTCTCCAGGCCTCAGCTCTGCCAAAATTTCCCTTCATGCTTATTCAAATTCCGCACTTGATTTCCAGACCATGAAAAGAGCAGTAAAAGGCTTTTTTGTCTCGCCTTTTCTTATTGTGGAATATTTCACTCTCCATGACTGGATACTGTAGAATTTCAATAATTTATGTTTCAATAGCATCAAACTGAGATCCAGCTTGCTTAGGCATTCTACTGATGTAAGTTACAGTAATCCCTGCTCCCAAAGAGCTTACAACTCTAAAGGCATAAAGCCTGAGTGAAATTTAAAAAAAAGCACAAAAGAGCAGGATGGAAAAAATTCAGCTCTATTTGCATATAATAGGAGACGCTACAGTTGTCATTCAGGGTCTTAACACAGCTCACCATCTACTTGGCTAATTCCATTACTGGCATTTTTCCAAATTCATTACTGCCAGCGAGGGCTTTTAATGAGGATAAGGTGATATGAATGAACTTCAGACTGTGAACTGATTTAGTAAAGTTTTTTTGGGCTTGCACACGATTACCACATGATGTTTTCTGCTACGATGCAGAGCATGAAGCAATGACAGACCTTTTTTTACATGTATGTACCACAGTGACAAAACGAAAACAGCAAGCATATGAAACGAAACCATTCTAAGACCATAGTTAAGAACAGAAAGCTTTCAACTCAAAAACATAAAAGTCAGGTTTTTATTGCATTTCTTCTTCCTGGACAGAAGAGGGGGAGAGGGACGAAGAGCCACTTAGTTGTGGTCTAAAGCATATAAGCTAAAAAGTTGTGATTGATTTTAGTCAAGAAGGACAGCAGCTTCCCATAGCTTCATTTTGTCCTAAATTCTGAACACAAGCACACTTTCAGTGTGAGTGTTGTTCCAGCTCCTGTCTCGATGTCCAAACACATCACTCGATAGGCAAGAACCCCGGGAAAAGGTCCTCAGCAAACTCCCCTGCTGTTCGGTGGCCGACTGCCTTAGCGTGTTCCTTACAGCTGCGGACACGACTCTCGCACACGAATTCCAGCTTCTCTTTCAAAGGTTTCTGTGTCCAAATTGGACGGAGGAGCTCGCAAACCCGAGGCAGAGCGTCTCCTACCAAAGAAGGTAAGAAATCCAAGCTTCCGGGACGCTTTGGGACTGCCTCACGGCTCGGCAGAGCCTCACACGGAGGCTGCTGAGCCGGGCAGCCTCAGCTGTGCCTTGCGCTGCCCGCACACACAGCCCGGCCCGCAGCCCCGCCGCGGGGACAGGGACAGCGGTGCTGCCGTGTCACACAGCACGGGAGGGACACGGACCCGCTGGAGCCAGCCCGCAGGAGGGACACGAAGATGTTCTGAGGGCTGGAGCACCTCTCCTGTGGAGACAGGCTGAGAGAACGGGGGGGAGCACCTCACAGCAGCTTCCAGTGCCTAAAGGGGGCCTGTAAGAAACATGGGGACGGACTTTCTGGCAGGGCCTGTAGTGACAGGACAAGGGGTTATGGTTTTAAACTAAAAGAGGGGAGATCTAGACTAGAGGTAGGGAAGAAGTTTTTACAGGGAAGGTCACAGGTTGCCCAGAGGGGTGGTTGGTGCCCCGTACCAGAAACATTCAAGGTCAGGACACACAGGGCTCAGAGCAACCTGACCGAGTTGAAGACGTTCCTGCTCTGCTGCTTATTGCAGAGGGATTAGAGTAGATGAGCTTTAAAAATCCTTTCCAACCCAAACGCAGATTCTGTGCCTCAAAACACACACAAAAAGCACTCAGCACCCACATAATCCCACATATGGCCCTGCTGCGATGGCCCCTGGGCACAGTGCGGACCCCGTCCCAGCTGCGGCCCTCACAGCCAGGGCAGCGTGCCAAAGGCACACCGGGAGGCCGCAGAGCGAGGCAGGGGAACAGCAG